TTGTTTGTACACGCCAATCTCGAGAACTACTGCTTCGAATTGAAAAGATTTTTGTGTGGGTTGATCGATTTATCGAAGAAGGCTATAAATCATCAGGCTATGAAGACAAAGAAGGGACGACAACAGAAGAAATATTTATTTTGAGGTATCTTTGCTGCGGTTCATGGAACTAAAAATATGAAATATAAGATTCTTTTTTAAATGATCTAAAAAATGTCCGCGAGAGTATGTATTATTACTATTAAAATTAACTCGCAAGTACGACGGGGCGCGGATGACGTCCTGTGTAAGGAGGCTGATAGCACGAATAAATAATGTGAGCCTTAATAAACAACTATTCTACGCGGACGAAGTCGCTGGCACAGCTAGTAACAGATAAATATGTTAGATAGTGTGAAGGGACCATGGCAAAAGTGCTTAGCGCAGTGAAAGTGGCTTTGTGCGATGTGGCGCCAATCAAAGTCGCATTAGGCGGGTAATGCAAAGTGCTATTTATAAGCGTAAAGTTTAACCCTTTTTCCATAATAATACTGGCAAGCTATACTAATGGTTGCGGTCATAAATACGTATTAAATACATGAAATTATAGCTTAACGACAGCAATATGACGGCTATATTATGAAAAGTTATTTATTTTCAAACACTAATATAATCCGAAAACAAGTAATTGAATGTTATTTTTGCAGTATTATTTAATTATTCAGATCATTTGATTAAATATTCTTAATCTAGTTATTAATATTTTAAACGGTTGAATTGGTCGCATTATGGAAATATGCTTTTCTAATTTTAAAGTTCTTAAAAATTAATATAAAATAAATTTTTTTGGTTTAAGATTATAAAATTGCGAAGCAAATCATTCACATTTCGAAGTAATATATTTATTATCAAACTAACGACTCGCCCCGGCTTCGCTCGGATGCAATGCTAATACTAAATACACTACAGAATATATAAAATTCGACAACAGTTATATATAAAAACCTATAAACCTTCCTCTTGAATCACTTTGCTTTTTTTGGGGGGGGGGGGGGGAACAAAAAAAAAAACCCCTTTGGGGGGGGGAAGGGGGGGTTTTGGGGGGATTTTTTGGGGGGGGGTTTTTTTTTTTGGGGGCCCGGGGGGGGGGGTTTTGGGGGGGGGCGGGGGCGGGGGGGGCTCCCCGTTAAAGTGTTTTATTTAAATCACTCTATCTATTAAAAAAACCGCATCAAAATCTGTTGCGTAGTTTTAAAAACAGCGTATATAGGGACAGAAAAAGGTCTTTGTTTTATACTAAGTAGTGAAGTAGTTTGAGCTACTTGACTTATCAGTGTCAATAGAATCTACACCACTCAATCCAAAAGTTAAAGTTGCGCAATATTTTCGTCCGAATAAGTAGAACGCGTGAAATTTGGCCGATACCTTTACATAAAGCAAGCCGTTACGTAAGTTATAAAGAGAAATCCACGTCCGGAGAAATGTAAAACCGAATTGACTCATTTGCGAGCAGCCGCACATCCGGAACCGATACAATGATTCAGATTGGCAGTAAAAGCTGCTTGCGTAACACCCGTAACTGGTTGCGATGGTTTGATAACGCAGTTTCCTTACGGCACGCGTGTCATGTTTGTTTCACTTTCTCGGCGTGTCGAAATAATAGAGATGTTACTTACGAAAGTAGTCGATAACACTAGGTTTAGTTGTGTACATAGTACTATTTTCAAATTTATAGTTATCATAATTATATAAATGTAGAAGGAGGTTTTAATTAATTTTGAAGGTCACAAACGTGTTATGAGGGCTTATTTTTGCAGTGTAACGCAGGTTCAAGTCTTACCTGTGTTATTTCCGGATCAGTGTTTAATTTATTTTAATAAACGAATACATTTATTTACATGGAACGATAAGAATAGGCACATTTTACGCTTATTTGAAATTAAATTTCTTTTTTATAATTATTATTTTTCTAAATCTATTAAAAAATATAAATAAGAAACTTATTATAGCTATTTAGATTATCAATTTGGGGTCGCACATGTCTTTCGACGCATGCCTTCTCCATATTCATCCACTGTATCTATTAAGTTTCGTTCTTTACATTTCTTCCAAACTCAGTTGTTGTAATTATTAAATCCTTATCCAATGATATTCTTCCTGCTCCTTTGGTTTCGCTAATACTGAAGATTAACTAAGATGGGACATCTTTTTTTTTCTAACTATTTATCTCCGATTTTAGACGTTTAAAGTGGGAAGGTAAATAAAGTTTAATATAATAAATAAAACAATTTTATCTTATTTCGTAGTTTACAAATAAAGTTAATGTTTAATGAAAAATAGTAGTGATTACATATATGTAGTAAAAAATAAAAGCAAAATAAAATAACGTTCCCGTTCTCAACGGATTTATCATTGCTTTATTGTACGACATAAACCCGGCGCCTTCTAAAAATAATCTCAGTAATACCCTTATAGTAACCCGTGGCTAATCCTGATAACCCATTTAGACCCTTCCCGGAACCTCTTCGAAGATTAAACGATCACTTACGCCATACTACCTACCTACTAACATATTCGTACCTAGTTACTTTTATAACTTTATTGCTGTAGATTATTCCCACGACTTTAATAAAAATTATATACATATTTCAAGTCTCTTTATATATACATATATTCTACATATGAAGTGGTTCGAAAATACATTATTTAATAATAAATTGACAATGCAATGTAAAAAAAGCTACTTTCGCGTAGGTACTTGAAAAAACTAAAAAATTTATTTAAGTTTTTGATGATTTAGTGAAGGATTATTATACAGTGCTACGGCCAAAATATATTAAATGTAAATTTTGAAAGTAAAATACAGGTATCTACAGACTTAACCGCGTAACTCTACTACAACGGTATCGCCCTGTATCTCGTTACATCGTATAAAACACTGCGAGTAGGATTTCACTTAAACATAAATACTTTTATAATGTATTAGAGTTTATACTTATTTTATGGCGATCTATTTCAGTTATATGATCTGTAACAGCGAGAGTGAGCAGGGAATTAATTTCGTTCGAACACGCGACGATCGTAAAGGTCGACGAAACGACAGATCGCTTTCTACTCGTTACATGCCTCGTGATATGCAAACTTGCCGTCGCTTGATATATCGACTTTTATGGAAAGTTGTTATGCGTCTCCAAATGCTGGGTATTATTAAATACTGATTTTATAATAATGGCTTGTTCTATGTATTAGGATAAATACTGTAGTTGGAATGTTGCGGGGTAATCGTCTCCTTACACTCTACTTAGCTATAACTATATATAGCACACAATTAAATGAAAGACAAATAGTGACACAGGCTCCTTCGCATTTTTTCGTGACATTTTTTTGCATCTTAAATCAACAGTGCTTGAGAAAAGGAGAAAATAACTATGCAATATATGTTTTTCTTGTAATTGTAGTTGCGTAAAAAAAAAATCAAAACACCTACTAACACTCCTATCTCGACCTGATAACACTTGTACGGATTTTTATGAATAATGCGCAGCGGTTTTAATTGCGTTTCAGCAATGTAGATGAGCAATGAATATGCGAATTACAATTTGTGACTCACTAATTACTTCGGCGGCCAACGGCCACCGCACGTACCCGCAGTAGCGGTCTTTGTGCTTTATTGCGATATTTGCATTTTTTCAGCTTTGCATTCGAAAACTTCGCAGTTGTTAAAAGTTATGAGAGTCGTAAAGTCGCGTGGCGAAATGCTAGTCAACGTTCGTTCTCGTAAAATTATTTTTTATGTTGCATTTTCGAACGGCTGCTCTTTTTTAGGTTATGCCAATAACGCTTTAGCATTTTTATTTTCAGAGCAAAAAAAAAATCATTAGAGATTAAAATGCACTTTGATTTGAAAAGGGAATACTAAAAATCGCTAACGTTTTCATCCGTCAAAAAATTAAATTTGTGCTATAAAACTTGCGGGGAACCTTTGAAAGCTATCTAAAATTTAACGATGTATTCCTGATAAAATAGTGGTAAGGAAAGTCTTGAAGAAATTATTAGTACTCGTGAAAGCTTGAAACAACTTTTCATTAAAAGCTGCTAGGTTTTATCTGAGTCAGGTCTAGGTAATTTAGCTAAACGCCTGAACTTTCTATGCGTTAAGACCTTTCTCTCTTATATAACATTAGGAAAGTTATATCACTGGGATTTTAACTTTAAGTTTTTAATACTTTTTAATATGTCTTAGTAATTATTTTTCGTTGCAAGCATTATTGTTCACTGTACATTTTACTTGCCTACAAAATATTTTTAAGAGATGTATGTTGTCATTTGTGCACGTAATCTGTTACTACGATTAAATGTAAACAACTGTTTATTGTGTAACGAGCAATATTCATTACTTGTTACGATGAAAGTCACATGGCATTAACGAGGTAATATTTATACATATCCTAAACAATTGGAAACTACACGACACCAAGATTATACAAAAGATATTGATGTTTACGACACTGAAAATAAAGCATATTTTATTGTGCGTATGAATCTTTACTTATTAAAGCTGTTTCGTCGAGAGAGAGGCCTGAGTCAACTTCACTTTCACTCAGTCCCTGCAGCTAAAATTGCATAGGTTTACTGAACTTAACAGTTAATGATCCAATCAATTTTCGATCAAATATACATATTCTAAAAACATGTTATTGATTTATAAAAAAAACTTAGAACGTTTTTCTTATTCCTGCTAATGAATTATGCGTGTTTTGTTTCAGGTATGTGTTTTACTCCGCTTTATAATATGTTAGTTTTATTTGCCGTGGTAAGTAATTTTTAACTGCTAAGTGATTTTATTGATAAACTTAGCTGTGTCGTTGTTATCAAGTTTGGTAGCCAGCATTTTTTCTTATCTCTTACGGGTACTGTGAATTTTGAATGGTCTTGCTTGTTGTTTATTTAAAAAAAACTAAACGTAAACAACGCGAACGGTTTAATTACGGAGTGATTAGGACGAGCTTTCCTGTGCATCGATGCCGACGATAGTCGCACGGTTCGACGCGGCACTCCCACTTTGCAATTGCGGTCGGCTAGCGCTCATTCACTTTAGTCCACAGTCGGCGGCCGCGGCGCGCGAACGTGTCACGCTACGCGCCTCAGATGTTAGTTTACGATTGCGGCATCGCGTCTCAACTCGGACTTTTACCGTGACAGTGAAAATATTTTTTTTCGAATATGGGTTAAACGAGCCCGTCTCCGAAATGAGCCCGGGCGAGCGCGCCGCTCTGGGGCGTCGCGAACACCCTCGCCCTCACTATGCTGCCACCGCACCGGGATTTCCGCCACCATACTACCCGCCTTACGGAGTTCCGCATCCCAACGCGTGGCTCGGAGCTCCCCTTATATCCATGACAGGTCGCACGCAACAAACGAGAAACACGCCCATTTCAAAGCTTGCCATGCACGCTCAAGGCGCTCCCCTCATCATACAAAATAGGCACGACCGACGAAAATTTACAACCTTTCCTGAACAACGAAACCATCGGACGATCGGATTTTCTGACCATATAACCAGAGACAACAGTGACGTGTCTGAAGGATCTAGGCCGCGGAATCAACAACAACAGCCGCGTCCGAATCGAACCAGCCGCAACAATAATACGGACGCAGTCAGCGTTGCCAGCGATGAAAGTTCCGGCTCCACAAATTCAGAAACCATGTTGCCACGGATAATTAAACCTAGAAAACGCCGTAAAAAAGATAGAAAACCCAATAACATTGTCTCGCATGATATTTCTAACTCCGGATTGGAACTGGGTGAAGTTGATCATTGCGCTGGTACAAATATGGCATCTACGCCGCACGTCTACGAGGAATCTTATTGCAGAGAGGTGTCATTACCGTATCGTTTAGAGGTGAAAGTACTAGGTTACCCGGATCCAATGCCGGAGACTTATAAAGTTGCTGCATTGGGTGAGGCTTTAGAGGCAACTCGTTTTGGTATGACAGAAGCAGTTTCTCCTTCCGAATCTGCCGTAAGCTCATGTCAGTGTCGGTATTGTGATCCTGTCGGGCAAATTTGGGACGCCGATTCCATTGCACATTTGCTCGACGAAAGTTCTAGTGGAGATTTCGCCCCTACCAAATTAGAGGAGTCTATGAAAGTGGTCGGACCTATGGGAAGAAGGGGAATAGATACTATGTTAAGACGCAGTTGGAGCGATCCTTCCGCTAGAGTTCCAGAAAGGAGGGAAATTAATAATATTGACACCTTATCAGCCCCCAATTTATATTCTTTGTTTCCACCTTCGAGGAGGACAAGCTCGCCGGAACCGAGATCACCGCTTGCGTTGGAAATTTCGTCAGAAATTGTCACTTCTATGAATGGACATCGAGACTTAGAAATTAAGTTATTTACGACCTCGCCCCCGGCTTCGAACTCCGAGCGTCGATCATTTTCAGAAAATCAAAGTGGTAGTGCTACAGATCGATGTACGATAAAAGATAACGCGTTACAAGTAAATAGTGTCGTGGACAGTGGGAAAGTTGTGTCCAATGCAAACGTTAAAAGTGACATTGTGGATTCAGTATATTCATCGGCGTATGTTACTGGCGAGTCCTCTCGCAACATTTGTGATCTAGCCTTAGTTTCAGCCTAAAGTCCTTGTGATTTTCGAATAAATAATAATAATTGGATGCGTGCTCGTTAGTCCAGAGGGCTCTACGCTAGCCATTTGAGCTGGACTCAAATTGTCACAGCGAGAGGCATGCCCGGAGCGTCTCAACACGAACCAATACATTGAGATCTCCGATTCGGTTTCCTTTAGATTTTATAATGATTAATTTATTTTTAACACTAGCATAGAAAACTGACATGGAACTTTGTCTGGTCGTTCGTACGTTTAGAAGTAATTAATATAAATGGGCTAATATTCATTCTTAATGTTGAGTTTTCTAACGTAAAAGCCGTTGGCGTGACACGTGCGCAATTAGCGTTTCACACTACTGACACCGTTGTGCGAGTATTGCGGTTTCCCGCGGTTTTCACCGCCCGCCGTTACGGATGGCGCTCCGAGCTCATTGCTTCATGGAGCTAATTATTTTTTTCCTATGTTCCTTAGTCTTTTTAAACTCTATACCTAACTATATACCTATAAAAAAGGTCATTGGACAACTCTATTATATATAAATTGAATTGACTTCGAATACGAAAACGTTTATTGCAAAAATCGTCGATGTCGTGTGATTGAAACATTTTTTTATTATAATCAAATAATACGTTTTAATTGTCACGAAAAATTAATATTAAATATTCTTATTCGACGTTTACATAATTTTTTGTAGATGTTCCTTTACTTATGTACTTACCAGTAATGTTTAAATATTAAAAAAGTGTCTGCAAAGAAGATAGTCGTAAACATTAAAAAAAAATATTATGGGGATGAATTGGAGTATATATTTAAAAAAATATTATTTTCGGTTTTCTTCAAGTTTCTCCTTTCGGGTCCAATGCTTTAATATTTGCCAGATGAAGTTCCATAATTATGTAGATACTGTGAATATGTCTAAGTATAATACGAGTTGTAAATCGGTACTATCGTTGGGTTTTACGCTCCACGGGATGATCTTGTATTTTTATTTTAGCGTTGCGTTGTTTGCCTATTGCTGGCGCGTGCGTGGGATTACATGATAAATCTATTCTTTATTTTTTCTTTACGATAGGCTTGACGTAGACGAGAAGTTATAGCAGTGTCTTATCTAAAAAATCCTAACAATATTCATAATTTCCGTTGCTCGTCAATGGACTTACGACCTTTATAGTATTATCATTCTCATTAAATCCGTCGTTAGTTCATTGTCGGCTTTCTCTTCTTCTAACTATAGTTCTAACCCCTTTTGGTTTTTTCTCAAGTATATATTTATTTTCACTACTACGTCGGGTCCTAAGGTGATTACAGTGTTCATAAGTAAATGTAAAACTCAACGATACAATCAGCGTAATTTTAAAATCGTAGGCTATGTTTAACTTACGAAGTGGATGCATTTTATACATAAAAAGTTAAATAGATTTACAATTTTGTTTGTGTACGTCGTGATGCACGAGTTACACGCTTGCACACTATTTTTGTACAATAAAAACCACCATGCCCTTATGCTATTTGTTTTATTTCTAGTTTACTATCTTAATCAAATAAAACCTGTTTCAATTGTCCAAAAGATATTACGATTTACGTAGATCATGAATAAATAGAAAAACGATGATCTGTTTAAAAAGAAATATGAATGATTTCGTCATGATCTGGCTCTTAGCTGATTTAAACAATGAATATTATCACTCGAAGCAAATTTAATGGGCCCGTTAAAGTTTAAACCAATCATAATGTTGTTTTGTAAACAGTGTTGCGTTTACGTAAGTCGGCAAACTCGACTTTCAATTGTGGTTGAACGCCTTTTAGTTACGCGGTTGTAAACTGTTTGTTGAGCGAAGAAACTTTGGGGTGTACCCATTGAATTTTACCATATGTAGGTAAATCATTTGCAATTTGTGTTTATTGTTTGATCGAAAAATTATATCTGTCATAAAATTATTTCAGGTTAAAATATTGTTATAAGTAAATTAAACTAATTTAATTAACTACAGTTTGAGGTAAAAATTTTGTATTCAAAAGAAGTTATGCGTTATAATAATACCTTAAAAGCCAATGTTATCAAGTTGGGCGACATATAATGTAACGTTGAGACCATGAGCGAGATTGTGGAATTATGTTACTTAATTAAATGCAATCAACCGTTGCGACGCTAGTTAAATACTCTCATTTGACTTGTTCGTACCTTCTTCGTTTTTGTAGCTATAATACAAGTTTAGTATTTGTTACTACATAATGTCTAACGAATAAACTTGGATTGATATTTACTTTGTCTTCACCAAGGACACTCTTGTTTGATGTCATGACGTCTCTACTCTTGTTTGCTATACTACGAGGCTATTGCGAGAAGTATTGTGTTTTTATAAAACTTTTGTTTTATTAGAATTACTTAATTTAAATAAAACACTTTAGCGGTTTATAACGGCTATATATTATATTAGTCAAACGTATTCGGAAATTATGTTAACTAGGCGGGCTCGCTAAGGATGCTTTTCAGCAGCGTAGAACTAATACTATATCGCGTTTAAAGCGGTTAAAGTATTTTATTTAAATGTGTACTACTCGCGTAAACTACAGACACTATAGGATTCCGTAAGGTAAAGAGGGACGCAATTAAAAACACTACTTAAACTGAATTAATTTTTATTATAGATTAGAAGAAATTTAATGTACAAAAAGAACCTTTTGTATGTTAGCTTCCGTTTTTCTCATCGTCACTGCCACAAATGAACGTTATATTTACGTTTTAAAAATGTCTTAAACCAACGTATATATTCTGCGACGTATACATCGATAAAAGTGATCGTCACATAAAAATAAGTCGTTATTTTCAGTAAGTCACTTTATGGACTTGTTTGTGAAATTCAGTTCTCAATTTCTGAACGATTTCGACCTTCAGACGAATAACTTTTTTATTCGACCTTTCAATACAAGGACAAGATAATTTACCGTGATGTGGCATTGGGATTTGACGTGATTATATTTCATGACTTGTGTCGGAGTCAACTTGTTATATAAAACTACCTACTTTTTGTCTTGTTTGTGTTTTATTGATTTTATAATTGCATTACTTGCATTCTTATATTTGAGTTTTTTTTATTAATTTGCATGACATAAAATATACTAGAGTTTTTATTAAATATTAATTTGAAACGTTATTATTATTCTCAACATACTATACTTAATGAATAGGTAAACAAAGGTTGCGCAACATGAAAGAAAATTTATTCTTATCTGCAACGAGGTTGAATTGCAATAAATTGTTATATAACCATGCATTACTTCGCCTATATCGTTGGCTTTATTTTTAATTAATATTTGTTCCGAACGCTTTACAAATTCCATTCCATTGCGTACCAAGTGTTTTATTTGTTTCTGCAAATTGTGACCAGCTTTTCCCACATTTGTATTTCACCGTGGACGAAGTAAAAACAAAGCTGTTAAACAGAGCACGTGGCGACTGCCGACCTTGTGGTCTAGCCAACGTGCCTAGGTAAACATTAGGGAAAATTATTTGAGTACATGTCGGCTACCAGTATTTCAAACAAATCGATATAATAACGAAGATTTTCTTAGGTTTCGTGACTAGTTAGATATAATAGACTAGTACTCTGTGGCGTTTACGCGAGTAGTACACATTTAAATAAAACACTTAGGGTCTTCAGTGACCCGTTACCACGGCTGCTGCAAAGCATCCGAAACGTAGGGCCGTAGTTAAAATAATTTTCAAATAAGTAACTGATGTAGGTAAATTGCGTTTTAAACCGTTAGTTTTGTATTTAAAAAATGGACTCTTATTTTTTTTAAAGTTGTGTGTATCGTTAGTCCTTCTTATCTATTTGCGAAACGCATAATTTTGAATAACTCTTTATTGTTAGATGATTATTAAGAGACGTTGCTCTTATCATATGTACTAGTTATATTGTTTATTATATATCGGTTACAGCAATGCCTGGTCGGAAGTAATATTTTTAATCTCTATCACTCCATATTGATCGCTTGATCACGTGGCCTTGCAACATACACTACTTGTTAAATGATAAAATCCACATTGTCTCTAATGTATGTGAAGAAGCTAAATATTTATGTTATTAGGTACATTATGTTATGATTTGCATATTATTTGCGAGGTCGGTCGCTTATATCATAGCAGTTCACTAATTACATTCAACATTTTGCAATTAAGTCCTTGTATTAGTATTCTAATTGGTTTATCAAAGACATTTTATCTTGCATATATATAGAAATGTTTTTAATTACTGTCAATGGTCAACCTTCAACGGTCGCGTTCTCATAATTTATTACAATATCAAAATATATATTTAAATAAAACACTTTAACGGTTTAAAACGCGATATATTAGTTAAACTTATTTGAAAATTATTTTTAACTTCGGCCCAACGTCAGAGACATCCTCCATCTTTAGTCGCATCCGAAACGTCTGGCCAAAGTTAAAAATCATTTTCAAATAAGTTTAACTAATATATCGCGTTTTAAACCGTTAAAGTGTTTTATTTAAATGTGTACGTACTACTCGCGTAAACTATAGACAGTATTTAATCAAAATTATACATGTTAAACTAAAAGTAAAATATTTTAACCAAAATCTTTCCGCTAGTAATAACCGTTAGTAACTTATAGTAAAGCTTATAACAAGCTCTACTTCTTGTAACTGTGCCTAGCAGCTTTTTCTTGTAAATTGGCGACAAGTTTATTCATAGTGCGATGTCTAAATGTAGCCAGGGTTAGTTTTCATCTCGACGACAGGAGGCGGGGTAGAAAGCCGACTAGTTTCCGTTCTCAAGTTTCACCTGGGCTTTCACTTGCGAAAACATCATCCGAGTTACGCTGTAAGCGATAAAGACTATATTATGAGATTCGCACTATACGCATAAGAGTACATCGCATTAAACCGTTTAAGATTTTTAATAACAAGAGCTGTTGACACATGAATAATTTCCAAATCATAACGCAAATAATAATAAAATAGTTACCACGGATTACTTGGTTAT